AAACATTTTCCCGCATTTCTCCTAAAATTCCACACAGAACCTAGACAGATGATTGCAATGTCACTATAGTGCTGGTGTCGCTGAGATGAGTTTATGTATTCCTTTGGATATCGCTGTGCCAACAGGAGGTATAAAAGTTCGCGTCCTGCAGCTCAACTCATTCCGCTCTGCAACACACTAGTAATTTTTACTATCTTTCTTGAATAATCTTGTTTTTTGTTGTTTTTTAACTTTAATGAGTATACATCATCGCTTAGTCGAAACGGAGGCTTGAGGGAGGGCAGTTCTAAGCTCAGGTTGCAAGAGAACTTGATGTAACACCAAGTGTCATCTCCAGTTTGTGGAATCAGTTTAAAAACAGCGGAATAATGTCCAAAAAGTCCATGATAAGATCACCCAAGAGCCATAATGACCAATGACGATCAGTATTTCGTACTTTCAGTAAAGTGCTAGAGAATGTCTACAGCTACACAACTGTCTTGTGAAATCCATACTGTCACATGAGCACCAGTTGCAAGTAAGACAGTTGCCAGATGGCTCTATGATACAAGACTATATACTAGAAAGTGAGTGTATCCCACTCACTCGCTCCCTCCCTCCCACAAAAGAGAGCGTTTACAATGGTGCATACAACACCAACAGTGGACACAGCTCCAGTGGGCTGTGTCCACCACAAACTAGGAATGTTTTGTGGATTTTTGCAAATATAGCAGAAGAGATGCTAATTCTACTTTTCTTTCTTCAATTCGTTTCTAAGCATATTATTATATTATACACCAGAGAACAGGGGCTCCGTTGCCTTGCAGTCTAGCAGACTGCCTTACACGGATTAAAGCCTCTGCCTCCGGAAGCTATCTACTACCCGCTCCACCACAACTGGAGTGGGTAACAGGTCAGACGGCAATTACTGAGTCTTAAAACAAAGAGATGCATGGGCAAACAAGGCCAGTGTGCAACAGAGGTTTCAATACATAGTCTGGATTTACAATTTTTTCTTCTAATACATACGTCATACATTTATCACAGCTTATTTACAATCATTCCTTTGCGACATACTTCAGCCATTAATATTGATTTCAGACATGCAATTTTACACAGTTTCCTGTGACCAGGGTTACAATTACTGTTTTCAGAAAAATAAAAATAGTCTGCATAAACATACATCTTAGATATACAATTATAAGACATTTCTTATTCAGACAATTATAATACAATTTAACATTAGAATCTTAGGGATACAAAGGAAAACATTGGTACACCAGTCAATTTTAAGCCAAATCTTTTTTTTTTTTTTTTTTTTTTTCAAAAAGAACTTCCTAAATAGCTATATAGGACGTAGAGTTTTAATTCTAAAAACCTCTAAATGCATCTTACCGTAAGATAGCAGAATTATGTTAGATTTACAGCATACCATAAGCAAAGTTCCTATTAATCATTACTATTAACTTCTTTAACCTATCAATACTTGAATACTGTTGCAATTTAAACCAAGAGTACCAATTAGTTACATGAGAACTATACACCACAGTATTTGTGATATTTTAGTACATATTTTACCATTCTATTAAACTTATATTCAACTCAGATACTTCAAATACAAAACAAAAAAATTAATATTATATATATATATATATTATATACATACACATGCAAGTGAGTTCAAGAGACAGTTAATAATGAAATATGCAATGAATAGAATATAAAAATCAACCTGCAAGTACTTAGATACAGTTATTACTACTATACAATTGCTGTACGTAGCAATAATACTACCTTTTCTTTTAAAACACTAATATATACAGGACTAAACAACACAGTATTTATGATATTACATACAGTTACTATACTATTAAATATGATATTACATACAGTTACCATACTATTAAATATGATATTACATACAGTTACCATACTATTAAATATATAATCAACACAGATTATTCATTTACAAACTAGATGCGTGCGATAGACTTCAAGATACAGTGAATACTGGAATGAATAGTAATTTCAATACCAATCTTAACTAGATTGTAATATTAACTTCATTCTCCTGCAAATACTTAGTTACAATTTTTACAAATACTATACGTAGCAGTGATACTACTTCCTCTTTTACAATGCTGATACATTAGACTATACTATAAAGTATTTACGATGCTATAGTACAAACAATTACCATTCTACTAAATTTATATTCACACAGATAAATATAATAATAAAAAAAAAACCTAACTTAGTAGTAACATCAACTTCATTAACTTACAAATACTTAGATACGGTTATTACAATTATTCAAATGCTATACAGATCAGCAATACCACCTTCTCTATTTCAGTACAGATATATACAAGACTATACAACTTTGCATTTTATAATTATATTAGTGCATACAGTTACTTTGCTATTATGTTCGGCACAAATTCTTCAGGTGCCAAAAAGATGCATACATGAGAATTCGATGAACAGTTATTGATGGATTGAACATTAAATATAATACTAAAACTCGATCTAGTCAGTATCATAAGCCTCATTTAACTACAAGTGCTTATATTCAAGTTATTGCAAATATTCAGATGTTGTACATAGTAGTGGTACTGCTTACATTTTGAAATACAGATACATACGAGACGATACAGCACAATATAAATGATACCATGGTTGTTGAAACTACAATTCTATTAAATTTAATTCAATATAGTTGGTTGGCACCCACTTGCATTCAGGATTGTAAAGCTTCTTTGTTAAGAGAATTCTGCTGTGGATTAGTGCATTTCAGAAATTGCGATGAAATTCTAGTTCAAATCAAGTGATAATGGGACGTCCACGTACTTGACTTTCATTTAGTATTTTCATGAGGTGGGCAATAAAACTGTTCTCTTCGCGGAAACAATGCTTGACAAAGCGTCTAATAAATTTTTCCGGTGTTAATTTCTTCCGTATAATCTAACTTTTCCAGGGAGCTCGCTGATATAATCATTGAATACGACACTTATTTTATTCTGTGAGAGCATGAGCTTGTGTAAGTTAGAGGAATACTAACTCTACTCAATCACTGGTTTCCCCTTGAAGTTACCTCCACTCATGGAAGAGGTATGTTCTTGAGAGAATTTTATTATATCCTTGATTTTTTTAAGATCAGAGAATTTCTTGGGGAGGTGCTACACCCATTTCGAACGAAATTGTTCCTGTGGTTTCTTTAGATGTAAACTGGCTGTCATTGGGAAGCTAAAGAGGTAGTGATCAGTATCGCCAATCTCTCCACATGAGCAAATGTCCGTGTCCGTAAGTTTGAATCTCTTAAGATCGGACGGAAAAGGGCCGTGTCCTGAGTAGAATTGCGTTAAGTAATTTGCTAGGCCTCGCTGAAGCAATGAAACCTTTGGGACGAAAGTATGGACCCTTCGTCCTGTGGTTTCTGAAGTCCAACGTTGCTGCCATACCTCCATAAGTTCCTTTAGCGTCATCTTTTTAAGGTAAGAGTACGGTACTTTTTCCGACCGCTCCTCTCTGTAGACGTTATTTCCTGCTTGTTTTGCGCCTTTGCCTGCCTCTTCGTTGCCGAAAATTCCGACGTGAGCCGGAACCCATGACAAAGCCGGCCTATTCTCTTCCTGGAGTGCCAGGAGCTCTGACTAGTTTGCTTGTACGATGCGATTTCTGTTCAGATAATTCTGAATAGCATGTAGACTGGAAGTTGAGTCACTGAGAATTCTGAGCTTTCCAATGTTGTTCTGTTTTGAGTAAGCGACTGCGGCCCTTAGAGCTAAAAGCTCAGCCTGGAAAAGTGTTATTGCTGTCAAGCCTTCTATTCCATACGAACAGTACATTGCCTCTCTGCACTAAGCAAAAAGCGCTGCCAGTACCATTAGGTGTTTTGGAACCGTCAGTATAGATCGCTTTTTCATTATGGAGAGGGGGGATATGTATTAAGCTGATCGATTTGGAGATATTGAGGCTGGCAGGGTGACTAATTGTATGATATATCCTATTTTCAAAGTCAGTGGCTATATACGTTTTTGCCCATAACGTGCAGTTTTGGCGTAATCTTAAGACTCTGGAAATCGCAGCTTCTCTTTGTACCATGAGGTCTAGGGAAGGAGTCCCCGCTAGTACTTGGAGGGCAGCGGTTGATGTGGTTTTGTAGCCTCTGCAGATTAGTAGTAGGTGCTGTCGTTGGATTGTATTCAGGAGGCCTCTTATGTTTTGATTTAGTTGCTTTCCTCAAATTGCCACTCCGTATAGTAGGATTCTTTCGAGAATCTTCTTGTACTAAATTTTTACTATTGACGAGGGAGTTCGCCAGTCAAGCCCCATCGTCTTTAGCATGTGATTGTGAGGTAACTGCTACGAAATTTCAGTTCTTTCAGATGCGGCATCCAGGAGAGGGTGTTGTTTATAACAAAGCCTAAATATTTTATTGACCTTTCGCACTTAATTGGATGACCATTGATTTTAACCGAAGGATTACGTTTCATCTTTCGCTTTCGTCCAATGAAGAGTAGCTTGGTCTTGTCCGCTGAGAGGTGTAGTTTGTGATTGCTTGCCCATTTAACGAATTTATTGAATGCCTGTTGCGCTCTTTGTTCTATGTCTTTTACTCCAGACTCTATTATTAGGAAATCATCCGCGAAGGCTTGCAGTCTATTGGATCGAATAGGGAAAAGGCTGTATTTGCGACAATGTTGCATAAAGTGGGTCCCAAACAGGATCCTTGTGGGCAGCCTCTCTATAGGTCTTGTGTAACTGTTGCATTTTCCAGGGGGATTTGGACTTTCCTTTCCTCCAAGTAGCTTCTAAGTATTTTTAAAAGTTCTTGTGGGCAGTTGGCTTTGTCTAATTCTTGCATAATATCCGGCCACCAGACCGTGTAAAATGCTCCTTTAATGTCGAGGGAGATGAATATTGTGTGTTGATTCTCGTTTGTGTTACATTGTATTAAGTCTATGAGGTTGTTGACAGCCATGTCTGTAGATACTCCTTTCCTAAACCCATATTGATTGTTACTTAAAATTCTTCCTTTCTCTAAGTAAAAATTTAGTCTCTTTAGTAGCAGTTTCTCTAGGAGTTTGCTGATGGAAGGCAGGAGCCTTACTGGGCGATAGGATGATAGATTGCCTGGATCGTTCCCTTTTTTTATTAAAAAGTGCGACCTCTGCTATTTTCATCTGTCTGGGAAATGCATTCAGTGTCCAGCAAGCATTACAGTGTGCCTGTAGGAGCCTTGGGTGTTTTTTTTTTTGGATGGCCTTTAGAATCGCATTATCTAGTCCATCTGGCCCCGGAGCTTTCTTCGCTGGTAGGCTTCTTATTTTGGGGTCCATTTCTTCGAGGGTAAACATTGCATTGTCTCGTGTCTTTGTGTTCCAATTTTTGTTGTTGAACTTTTCCCTTATTTCTTGTTGTTGCAACGAGTCATCATCTTCTGAGTCTGGTGGAAACATCGCTTTTAGTATCTCTTTGACTTTATCGCCTAGAGTTGGACAGTCAGTAGCCACTTCGGCAGGTATTTGAAGCGGTCGGAAAACCTTATCACTGGCGATCTTTTGAGTTATGACATAAACATTCTTAATATCAGCACAGAAAGTTTTCCAAGACGCTGCTTTAGCTTTTAAAATATTCTCTTTGAATTTCGCTAGTTCTTTCCTAAAACTTATCTTCTGGGAGAGTTTACGAGTGGGATCCTTTTCCCTTTGCGACCTTCTTCTCAGAGCTCGGACTTTGTTCCTTTGCGCCTTCAAAGAAGGAGTCCACCAGTTAATTGAGGATGGAGGTTTTGGGGATTTGATCCTGTAGAAAGTTTAGCCGCCTTGGTTAAAGTATGAATGAGGTGCTGATAAATCTCGTTCAGGTCTTCCTCCGTTTCTGCATTATCCAAATGTTGCAAAAGGTCTCTGGAATTTCAGGCCTTAGAAGGTTGAGAAACTTATGATGTCCTCCGTGGGACGTTTTTTGATCTGATAATTGCTTGTGATTCCAAGAGTGAATTCTATGAATAGGTGGTCGCTAATTGATGGAATATCAGGTAGTTTCCAGTCTGAGATGTGATGTGAAAGTGGCGGAGATGCCAAAGTTAAGTCAGGCCATCCCTCTGCTCTGTCTGTCTGGAAGGTAGGCTGCGAATTTGTAGAATTAATTATGCAGAGCCTGTGTTCTGCTATGAATTCCTGAACCTTTGCACCTCTATTGTTCTCTCCACGAGCTCCCCGTAGACGGCTTGACGCGTTGAAGTCACCTACCAGCAGGATATGGCTGGTATATTAATGTTTAAATATCTACGATTTCTTTTTCTAGTCTACTTGTGTACCTATTCTTTTTTTATTGAATCTAATTCAATAATAGTTTCACGTTTAACATTGTCATAAAACACATGAATGAGATCCATTACTCCAGAGTTGTTTCTTGGTAATGAATATCCTTGTTGTTGAAAAGACTGTCGAATGAATGAACTATTTGTAATGCTGTAAATAGAAAATCCATCCATAGCTGCAAATTTGGATGTCATTTCTTCTAAACTACTCCTTTTCACTTTCAGAAATTTCAAATATTTTTTTAAAGAGGAATATGTAGGCGTTTCTTCTTCGCCAATCGTTTCTGATTTCTTGTCGATAATTCTTTTATGAACTGCTTTGAAATGATTATGTAGATTGCTCGTAGATGATCCTTTGCAGCTCAACATTTTATTACAATGATTGCAGACTGCCTTGTCTAACCATAACTTTTTGAAACTATCCCAAACTTCCGACTTATTCATTTTTATGTAAAAATGAAATGAAAGTTTATAAATAAATATTTTTGAAGTTTATTTTATTATTTTAACTATTAATATTAATCTAATTTAAATAAATCTAATCTGTTTTAGAAAGTTTGAAAAAACACCTATCTTTTTAATCTAATTCCGAAACTTGATAAAGACATAATTTATGTTGAAATGTTGTGAAAGAAAATATGGATTATTTTAACACCCTGTTTTTTACATAAAATCCCATTAGACAAAAGCCAAAGCTTTTTATTTTATATTAATTTTTGAGAAAACAAATTATATAATAAAGTTTTAAAATTCAAAATAGCAAATACAAGGATAGGAACTTACCTAATACTTATATTATTTTTACCAAATATAACAACTATATATTTTTGTTTCCAGTTTTCACTTTATAGTATTAAGAAAAACTGTTGTGACTCGTGACGGATTGCACATACGTGCTAACATAAATAAATCGGTTAGGCACATTGTTTCCACGTGCTCAGGCGCAATTGTGCAGTGCACAATGCACAAGCACTGGCCAACGTTGAAAAAATGTGTTTGCTGCCAGCTGCATAGAATGAGTTACAAATCAAATGAGTTAAAAATTAATTTTTACATAAAAATATCAATTCTTGAAACCAGTTATCGAATGTGACAAATTTACTTGAAAACCCGTCAAACCCTAGTTCTAGTCGTTCTTAGTCGTGATGAAATTTTAATTTATTGTCTATACGGAAATTCCCAACCGCCTAATGAAGAGTATCCATCAAGTAATTTCCAAGTGAATAACATCTGAAAGCGTAGTGCTTGGCTCCTTCCTGAATGATAACACACTGGTGCATTCAGCATCGTCTGTGGCACAAGTAAGAAGTTCCCAAAGATAGGTGTTTTTTCAAACTTTCTAAAACATCCGATTTTCTGTCTGCATTTCGTTCCTACCGACTTTTGTTTCCTTACCCTAAAAAATCCCCCCTCCCCGAGATCGTGCATACTGGTACTATATTCTCACTATTTGTGCTCTGGGGGTATAAAATGCATGACCTTGCTTTCTACTATCCAAAAGGGTAGCCTCTGCTGTTCTAGAGGGTAGTGGTTTCGGCCATCTGGCTGGGTAACGTAATGGCCACTTTTATCGTCTGTTTCAACATGTTTTACACCCTTCCTTGTCTGTCTGAGATTTTATAACCCTCATTCCTGAGATTGGGGCTTTTTGGGTAAGCAGTGCAGCGAAAATTTCTAAATCACTCTGGAAACTTAGCCCGCGTTTCCTACTTCCAATGTAAAGCACATAAAGGCAAACCGTGTAGTGAGGTCCATAAGGGACATGCATAACGCGTTCTCATTTACTACCGTAAGAAATAAAATAAAATTGATATTAACAGACTATGTGCCCAACGAAAGTGGAGGACAGCAAGAAAACCATGACTTAACAGTATTTTAATGTATGATTTCAGAATAGGTTTAAAGGCCTGTTGGAGCGATCATATTTGTGCATCGAGAATAAAAAAAAATATTTTTAATAATCATGACCACAGTTTACTGCAATGGCTTTAGCTTTGATCACACGATAAACATTTCAGGAACTTCAAAGCCAAACCTTGCAGAATTATCTTTATAATCTTTTGTTAAGGTTATAAGGTATTTTCTCCCTCCTTCCTGCATGCCTTTGTGGTGTAACGGTAGCACATTCGGCGCGCATTCGAAAGGATTAAGTTCGAGTTCCGGTGAGAGCATTGTACATTTTGCACGTCCCTAATGACTCCACAAGGTAACCAAACAACTCTCTTAAAAGAGTCATCTGCAATAAGTAACATTAGCACTGTATAGCTTTGAATGTCAATACAACAGCAATTTAGCCGCTGATAGATTCATTGGTTACAGCCGAAAACATCGCGGCAAAAACATCGCAGACGAAAATGTCGCGGAGAAAACAACGCAAAGCGAAAACGGCGTGCTACAAAACATCGTGGGAGAAAACATCGCTAAGAGAAACATCGCTAAGAGAAAACATCGCAGTTCTAAAACATCGTGGTACAAAACATCGTCGTCGAAAATAAAGCGGTTCAAAAACATCGCAGTTTAAAAACATCGTCGTTGAAAATATCGTGGTAAAAAATAAAGTATCTACAAATCATCGCATGACGATAACATCGCAGACATCTTTTTTCAGGCATGCTTTAATAAGTGTAAATGGATATTCCCATAATGATTTGTGAGCGCAAGATCGAAAGAAGGATAATTTTTACTTTCATATTTTTTATTAATTAATAAATTTTTGCTGAGAAAATAAAAAGGAAACTTAAGCATAAAAAATTAATGCAACTTACAGCACTTAATAGAATTTTAAACAGACATAGTTAACTAACAAAGGCCATTAATAAATCATTTTTATAAAGTTTTTACTGCTAATATTTCATGAAAAGTATAATCTATAAGTTACATTTAATTTTCTATGCTTAAGTTTCCTTCTTACGTTTTCAGCAAAAATTTATTAGTTAATAAAATATGTGAAAGTAAAATTTATCCTTCTTTACACCTTGCGCTCACAAATCATTATGGGAATATCCATTTGCAATTATTAAAACCTGAAAAAAGCATGTCTGCGATGTTATCGTCATGCGATGATTTGTAGATACTTTATTTTTTTACCACGATATTTTTGACGACGATGTTTTTAAACTGCGATGTTTTTAAACCGCTTTATTTTCTACGACGATGTTTTGTACCACGATGTTTTAGAACTGCGATGTTTTCTCTTTGCGATGTTTTCTCCCACGATGTTTTGTAGCACGACGTTTTCACCTTGCGTTGTTTTCTCCGCGACGTTTTCGTCCACGATGTTTTTGCCGCGATGTTATCGGTGGACACCAGATTCATTACTGACCTACCTATTCCCAACCTTTGAGTGAAGTTGCCACGGACTGTGACACACTGTGTACCGTCTCCATGACACAAGCCGCAACGGTCCTCTTGAGCTTCTGAATCTATGGCCCAGTCGCAGGCTACATGCTGAAATATACATATGAAACAGTGAGTTGTGTTTCATTTTGGTCAAATAAGAACAGCAAATATTAAATTAACCGCTTTTTTTCTTGAAAATTCTGGTTAAAGTTTGAAAATTTTACCCATTAAGAATCTTACATCTTGTTTTCGTGCCTTGGTAAACTAGATTTTTTTCAATTACTTAATTTTTCAATTACTTAAGTATGATTAAGACCCACGTTCACATTATTTTTATATTAAATTACGCATTACATCAAAATAATTTTAAAGAAAGGGGAACTGATGTCTGATTAATTTCTGAACCAGCAACATCGATTTCTGAAAGAGGAAGATCGATCTTTGAAAGATAACGTTATTTTTCCCTGAAAGAGGACGACAGTAACAGTTACATACATCGATCCCTCAAGGAGGAAACTGCTTTCTGAAAAATACCAGCGTCAATCTCTGAAAGAGAAGTGGTGATCTTTGAAAAATACATTTATCATCGCTCTCTGAACGAGGAAAAACATTTCTACATCTTAGGTCACTGAAAGAGAAAGATCGATCTCTGAAAGACAGCTGCGTCAATTTCTGAAAGAGAAGGATTGATCTCTGGAAGATACCTGCATCGATCATTGAAAAATAAAGAAAAATACCTACATTGAAGCCAAAAAAGTTTATTGTTTGCTAAATAAGATTAGAAAACGAATACATCAGATTTCAGGAAATCGCACTTTAGGGAAGAACGGGTATGAGGATTGTAAGTAAGAAGAAGAACATAAAAGGTGGTGCATTGGATACGCGGATTTATATTTCTACCATTTTTTATATTTAAGTTGGCAAAATATATGTTTGACTTTTGTTATCTGCAGTCATTGAGGTTAATAAAAATGGATCGCAGTTGGATTTGTCTCTTTTGAGATTGAGTTGGTTAACTGTAAATGAAGTACATTATAGTGACATGTTATCGAGCTTCTTGAGGATTTACTTGTACGATATGAACCTCAAAGAAATATGGTGTCGAAAGGATTGCGCCACATGTCGTACAGCAAGAAAAACCATCGATTTGCTGAAAGTGCTTTTACTGGTTGTGTGATTTTTCAGAAATGTTGACGTTAATTGGCTACCCATATCTTGCAACTTAACACCACGCCGGTTTTTCTTGTGGAGTCAAAGGTCAGTGCTTCCCAAGTAGCACATGACGTAGCAAAGACGTTTCAAACTGGTCCGAGAGGTTGCAAAGTGGTCGTAGTAACATCTTTGCTACGTCGTGTGCTACTTGGGTACAAACAATTTTTGAACTGAAAACAGAAACCCAACGCGCTATTGCTAAAATAGAGCTAACTGACTTGGAAAACGTCTTTCTTTTGCCATGCTCTTTCAAATGTATTTTTGAGATGCATCTTGAAGTGGGAGCTTTGCCATAAAACGGTTGGTTTCGTTGCATTTATAACTTTGGCTGCTTCTTTTGCTACGGCGTCCACTTCCTCATTGCCCTTGCTGCTAAACGTACTGAACTTTGATCCATGATATTATGAAAAGCTGGTTGGTTATGTTAGAGGCAGTGTTGAGTATTTCCTGGATTATTGAGAATCTATTCGTTGGGAGGCTATTGTGTGCATAACGGATAAGCTATCTGTAAAAAATAGGAGGTTTTAAAGGGTGGTGAATACTGTATTTGATGGCTTCCAATATTGCAATCGCTTCTGTCTAGAAAACACTATTTTAGTTGAAACATTTTCTCTTCGGTTGACTGGCTACTGAGATATACTTTTAGAGCACATCACTTTCACATTTTAGGCCGGAGTCATCTGTGCAAATTTGTGGGAATTTGTTCATGAATGGCTCTTTGTTGATGCAGAGAGTTATATTGGTTTTCCCTGCAGGATGTTGCTCATACGGGTGTGAGGGAGTTGAGTAGCATTCTGCTTTGAATTCGTTTCTATTATGGGTGCAGTTCTTCCCTATGTGTAGTACAGCTGCTTTTATGGACTCTTTTTCTGCTGCTATGAAAAGAGGGGAAATTTTAGCAATCTGGCACAATGCAGAATTCGATGTTTTCCTATATCCTCTATTGTAACTGAGAAGAAAACGTCTTTAAATTATTTGGAATTTTTCTTAGTTTACGGGAATACATTGGGTTTGCCCAAACTTCTGCTTCCGTACAGAGCTATTTTTTCTATTACATTTGTATTTTCGTGTTTATGCTCCATCCAATTCATCCATCCCATCCAATCCAAAATATTAATAATTTGAAATAAATGCCGCTGGACTGTCAGCCCCTACCTTGGTGGCTGGAGGCTGCTGGTAGTAGATATATTTCCACTGAGCTAATTTTTTCCATTTGGCATTTCGCCTAAGGTCGGAAGTCAGCTCAGTGGCTCAAATACACAAATAAATAAATTATCTTTTGGGTTTTTTGATAGGAATATTTCTAATTTTATGATTTTAGATGCATATGCTCTTTGCAGATTTATTTGTGCAATTTTAATTGGGTCTGACTTTGAGTGCACTTTGGTAAGTATTATAAAATCTTTCTGTGGTACGGAGTCTTGCAGCTGACTGTGGGAGGCTTGGAGACTAAAGAAGAGGAGTTAGTAGTACATGGTGCTGCGCTTGACGCGTCCAACGTATTTCTGATTTGTGGGGTATGTTGTTTAGTGGGCTGGGTGGTCACATGGGTGTTACTTGTTTTGCTATTGAAATCAGCGCAATTGGTGCATGTGGGTCATCTTTCACATTGTGCCCTTCTGCGCAGAATGCGCAATATACTTTGTTTTTGCACTGCTGCTGTGTGTCCAAGTTTCTGATACCGGTAACAGCGTTTGGTGTTAACGTGCTCGGTGATTCTATACACTTTCCAGCAGGTGCAAAGGCGTGGGGACTGCAGTATGATTCGGAAGGCTATTTAGTTTGCACCCCTGTAATCCATTTGACCTTGTTGCCGCGATCTTTTAGCCGATTTAAAACCTTTACTGAGTTCTTGCTAATGCTGTGTTGTGATTCTAGAGCACGTTCGAGACTTTGTTGTTGAAGTGTTGGTAGTAGATATCTCCACTGAGGCTGTCGTGAATGGCTATTCTCGGGAGCCGGCCTGTTGGAGGTTTGATGTTCACCAGAGACTTTCCTTTTTCGCTAATAAGAGTGTTGATTAACTTGGTTATGCCACTCAACTGTTGTGCTACCTTTCTGGATATGACGCACAATTTGAACTTTAATTCCTATGTCGGTGAGCGGGAATTCCTCAGCCAGTTATTATTCAAGCCTATTGCTCGTGGATTCTGTTTGCGGTTAGATGAAAAGCGTTCGGACTGGTTGTCTATGGACTGTCACTGCTTGAGAATAGGTCTTTACGCCTAGAAACCGCGTGACTGATGTAGTCGTGACGTCGATATTTTTAGCCATTTTCTGAACCTGGCTGATGCTGCGTGTCTTTACAGCTGTTAGCTGTTACAAGCTTTGCCAATTTTTGCTTCAGATCCTCTAAAATGTCGCTAGGGAGGAAAGATCTGTCACAGCGCTTCGTGTGGGCAACTTAGAGATAAGCTTCGTGGAGTTTGACGATAATCGCTAAGTAGTCTGTTAACGAATTTGATGATGTTGTGAAGGTTGAAACATGTTGTGGGAGGCAGAGTGGTTGTTTCGAGAAATCAGCTTCGGAAACAGAATTACACATTAAGTTGTTTGCAAGGCGATTAAAATTCCGAGTGGTTGAGCTTCGTAGTGATCTCATTGAAGAGTAAAGTGTGCCAAATATCAAAAGAAAACTTTCTGAGGGTAACACTTATTAATGCTGGCACAATCGAGACTGTTGGATGTTATGATGCATAGCGATGACTATAAATGTTAACTGTCACATTTATTCACTGGTGACGGTAGGAAATATGTAACACCAGTAACACTAACTCTAAACACCAATAAATCACTGAATGTGAGCCCAATTAATTCACTGGTAAAAGCTTTCACTGATGGCTAATAAATCACTGACATTTCACTGATAACACAATAAACCAATTAACAGTACTAACACTTATACGGAGTATTAATATTACACAGAATTTTAACACGAATAGTTCACTGTTGAGGACTTCCGAGGATAACTAAGACTTTAAGTTGCCTAACGCGAATATCGCTGAAACTGGACTTTTTTAATAAATTGAACTTGATCACTGACACTGATATTTCTCTGATGACACAGAAGATCACTTAACACTACTAACATTAATATTACATAGGGAACATTAATATCACACAGAATTTGAACACAAAAAAAAATTCCCTGTTGAAGGACGTTCGCTGATAACAGGAGTTTGGCTGACAATATGTCACTGAGGACACTTTTAATTGCCTAGAGTGACTGTCTCTTAAACTGGATTGTATAAATACATTGAACTTTATTACTGACACTGGTATTTCACTAACGACACAAAAAATCACTTAACACTGCTAACACTTATACGGAACATCAATATTACGCAGAATTTGAACACATTCGCACGCATAAAAAATAAGTAAAAGAATAAAAATTAGAAAATAATAATAATAATCACTGTAGTGGACTTCCGAGTATGACTTGAATCTGCTGCTACTATTTCACTGGTGACACTTTAAATTGCCTAACGTAAATATCGGTTAAACTTGACTCTTAATATTTTAAACTTGATTACTGACACTGAAATATCACTGAAAGTACAATAAATGTAATCTACTGCACTTGAACAGAGCATTAATATTACGCAAAATTTGAACATAAATAATTCACTGTTGAAGGACTTCCTCTGATAATTAGAATTTTGCTGAAAGTATTTCACTGTAGACCTTTTGACCACTAATTTGAAATTAGTCTGTGCTTATTATATAATATTAATATAAATGAATTATTATAAGTTGGTTACAATGATATTATAGCTGGAAAAAATCATTTTACTTGTGAGTCACCTTCGCACAATCTAAGCAATAAGCGGGAGATCCGTTGCAAATTTTGCAAATATAAATGGTCTCTTTACGTTTTCTCTGGGAATAGCAACTTTTACACTGCTTTCGCACTACATTTCCACCTTTTTATTCTTCCCGCGCTTTGAGCACATGTTCTCATTCAGTTGGATCGCGCACAGGAGCACGAAGGACAGGCTTTTCAGTAAACACCGTATTACCAATTAACGAAAGTCATAATGTGACATAATTCCAGTTGAATATTTGTTGTAGAGTAAGTGAGAATTTGAAATCATTAATTGCAAATTATACAGAAATATTTTGGTAGGCCATCTGATGGTGTTTCTTTCACATTGATAGGCAAGCATCTGATCTTGTTTATCAGTACTTGCCATAAATTTATTATACTGAATGGATTGGATTGGATTATTTAATTATGGCAGGTATCCCTCCCTTTAGGCAGAGGGCTATCTGCCTAAAGGGAGGGATGCCTTCGTGAAGAACTTTCTAAGGGAAACTGGCTCGTATACACGTTACACATGGGGAAAACCACGAAAACGACCATGCAGCCAGCCCGTTCGCGGTATTCCAATCTCGGACCGAACTACCAGTGTTCAGCGTCTTTACCGCTCGGCCGCTGGTGAGCTTATTATATTGAATGACAGCAAGTGGTTTTGATTTCATTTCGCCTCTTTGGTATGTCGTTTTACAATTTCATTTTTGTATTCATTAGAAATGTAAGTTGCGTATCTTTTATCTTTCCATTTGCCGATCATAACAGCATTAACATCCTTCGCTATAGTTTCCCCTTTCTTTAGTTTTTTCTCTCTGACCTCTTTCGGAAATGTCTTCCTGTTCTTTCTGATTGTTCCAGTACAATGAGTTCTTTTATCGGCAAGACATTCTGCCAGTTCATATCTATTATGATAATTGCCCATAAGTATACTATGCCCAACATCTAGCATTCCTTCCAATAAATTAAACACTGCATTTGTGCATGTCCTTTCCCTTCAGAATGATCCATCATGCCGGTATACACCATAATTTTGATAACCATACCATTAGGTGTTATGATCATGAATAACTTGATACCATATTGATGGCATCTGTTTGGAAATATACTGTTTAAAAATGAGCCGTCCACGCCACAATATCATCGACTCATCTAAACTGATCTCTCGTTCTAGGTAGTATATTTCAGCCGCCTCTTGTACGTCTTTCTTCATCTTCCTTCTCAGAATCCGAAATATCATGGACACCTTGGAAAGGAATGAAATCTTTATCGCTGTCATAACTAACATCACTTGGGTACTCGTCCGAAAGTTCAGGCGACAAATTTGCTATTTCATCATCTGTTAGAGGCTTATTACGTTGCATGTTTCTTTTTTGGAGGCGTGAAGGCCCTGCAGAAATATCATCTCTACAACTCATATTGCAAGATTTTTTAATAACTAATAAAGCTATAAATTCAAAACCCATGCTCTCACAACTAGTTTCTAACCTTTACTCCACGCCAATACCAGCAGACACACCTAACATATAATGCTGATTGAAGCTGAGACTAAATATTAAGGCGCCGATTTTCCCGCACGAACGCGTAGTTGGTTACTGGGACATCTCTCCACACCCGTGCTGACGCGTCATTGGCTCTTTAGCATAGACGCCACATCCCGCGCTCGCGTGCGATCGGCAGCGAAAGTGCTAAAGCGTACTAATGCAGATACTGTTCTGCAAAACTGGCGTTTGAGGAATTAGTTATTATTACTGGCATTCTTTGAACTGTTCCTGTTCTCTGTTATGTACATTATTGCACAGCTGTCCAAGTCTCCCGTGAGATTACAAGAAAAGAGATGATCAGCTTCGCCTTCCTCACTACATTCGCAGTCGTCATTGTCACGGAAGCTAAAGCAAAATTTGTATGTGAGGAACGGGCCATGTCCCGTTAGAAAATGTGTCAAGTAATAATTTTTTATCTGTATTTATATCGATACCTTTGGGATAAATCTGTAGACCCGACGACCGTAGGAGCCCTGATTCCATCGCTGTTGCCACTGTGAGATCAGTTGCTCCCGTATCCTTTTTTTAATATATGAGACTGGCAATAAAGTGACGTCCTTTTTGAATCGGCCTTCTCATTTCCGTTTCTTCCGGTGTGTGCTTCCACCCAGCTGAACCTTGACTTATTTCCTTCTGGAATTTGTAGGAGTTGCTTTCTAATTCTTTGTGCAGTTGAGTTGCGGGAGTTGTCTGCCGCTGTTGCTGCTAAGCTGGACGCCGAGTCCGTGTAAATTCGTCTAGATACTCGAGCATTTCCGTCACAGTATGTGATTGTTGCGCTGATGGCTAAAAGTTCGGTTTGGAACACAGAGTTATGCTGCGCCAGCTTTCTTTACGTATATTACTTCTCTGTCCAGAACGTGACAGTATGCAGAGCCAGTGCCTGCTGATTTTTCGATCTGTCTGTGAAGAGGCCGTCGGGCAGTTTAGTGCTTTGTCACGAGAGATGTATGTAAGTTTATTAGGTTGTTATCAGCGGGGTCGCAAGGATTTGTGGACGTTGTAGCTCATATTCGCTAAAATCGTAACTCTGCCCCATAGCATATGCGTACTACGCAGCCATTTGTCTTTATCGAGTGCCGCTTCCTGCTCTACTATTAAATTGAGGGATGGCGTCCCCACTGAGTACGTGAAGAGCAGCAGTGGGTGCGGTTCTGCATCCTTTGCATACCGTAATTATCTCTTGCCTCTGGATTATAAGGAGCATGCGCCGTATGTTGGTGGTTAAATGTGCCCCCCCATGCGGCCGCTCCGTAAATCACAATTTTTTCCGTCACCGTCTTGTACCAGATCCGGAGTAATTTTGGTGATAGTCCCCATCTCGCTGCTGTCATACGCCTCATTGTGTTGGTCAGGTTGCTGATATGTTGTTTTGACATTGATATATGCTGAAGCTAGGAAAGTCTCTGATCGATGATGCCCAGATATTTGAGTTCTCACTTTATTCTGCTGTCTACTAGACAGAAGCTAGGATTCCGTTTCAGTGGAGGACAGCGCTCAATGATAAGCGCTTGCATTTTTAACACTGACGGCTCAAGTCTGTGCTGCCTTGCCCACTGTGCAAAGATTTTGAGGCACTGTTGCGTTTTGTCTCCGGGTTGCTACGACCTGACACTATCAACAGGAAATCGTCCGCATACGTTAATACCGTAACGCCTTCTAAAATGGCATAAAAACATCGCAAATGCATAAAAAAGCATAAAAAACATCGCAAATGCTTAATCTTAGTTTTCAATATGCAGTTGTTATATTTGCATTTATGCCTTCACACGCTTTGTTTATGATCATACAGCTGGTTAATTCTTTCGTAGAACACCTCTTTTATGATATACAGAGTATTCATTAATCATAACACATTAGATATATAGAGTATTCATTGGCAACTTTCAGAAACAAATTCTTTTGGAAGTATCCCCTTCCAGTAAAACAAAAGTAGCCATCTTTTGCTCCGAATTCATGCCTTAGATGTTCATTGGATCAAAGCAAAGGATTAACTGCAAGGAAGATTCCTGTCTGTAATTAGAAACGGTGTTTTATGAAACTCTGCGATATTTTAGGAAATGTCATAATAATGTTGTCAAATATAGTTTGGTAGGTATAATGGAATTTATCAATAAATATTAGTCCTTATACTCTATAGACGCTATGTGTACATCAGTAGTCTCTAAGTGGTGGAACCCGAACAATTTTATGCAGTCCGCTAATACATTTTATTTATGTATTTCTTGCAAGATTTTAGTTATTTAAAGCCCGAGCTTACATTGTTTTCGCTATCTTAAAAACGAAAGTGAATAACGTATGAGAAATTCTAAGTGTATTCTGTTTTAAAGTGTATGTTTTTTAAAGTGTCATATAAATCTAATTCAAAGATATGAAGATACAGATTTAATTAACTTGTCAAAAAATAAACTTGGTTGTGAATTTTATTTTCCTCTAATAATAATCTCTTTGTTTGAGAATATGCGAACGGCCTTTCTTTCATAATTGAAAATTAATACGACTGAGCGATGAACATTTGCAATCCATGATAAAGATAATTCCTTGTAATTTATCCCCAAGGCTACAAACTTTATTAGAATCGAAACGTCATCCAGTATTAAGCTGTAGTAAGAAATAAAGACGTTTGTAATTATTTACTCACAAAACATGTGTCGAAGAAACATAATAAATAAGAGAAGGAGACTAAGTTGTCATTATTTGTCGGAAAATTTAATAGTTATCTCTCAATGCATTGTGCAACCAACAAAAATGTCTTGCAGGTGCCGAGCTTTAGATTTCAGATAGAAAATAAGCATGAATTTGAATTTTTACCCTTTGCAATATTGTTATTTTTGTGTGTATCTTTTGCTAAAATTTAGTAAGCGAAATTTAAAACTCATTTTACTATTTTTCCTTCTGTTAAAAAAAATTATCCCAGCTGCTATTTTCAGACTGCGCATTCGGCCAGCATGCAATTTGAGTTTGAGACCACCAGTGCACACTGTTGTCCATCTGAATGCACTAGACCCTTTTTTTTACCAAAATAATGACAAATTAAATTTAAATTTTGCGAAATTTCAACTAAATCTCTCATATTTTACATCTGTCAGGAGCTACATCATCTGCTTTTATCTTACGTGATATATTACCCATTTATAGAGTCTAATGTTTCGTTCGTTACCTTAAAAATAAAAGATGGCATGATTTTAAATCTATTGTGCATACAAAATAAGAGCAACACACTTACTCTGCATTTTCCATTGATGCAAACATCTCTGGTGCCGGGATTACATTCGGTGCCATCTGCAACCGTATCGGACAGCATTACGGAGAAAAATTTGCCATCGGGTTTGCAATGAAGTTGACAAGGAGTCACTGTGAAATATCACCAAGTTCAGTATTTGATGCTATTAAATAAAACTCATATGGCAAATAAATAAATACATTTTTAGGATTATGTGTTTTGTAAAACCAGTTAATCTAGTGTACACCCTCATTTCGCTGCCTCCGATTTATTCTAGAAGTAAGTACACGTACGATAAAATGCCAATATAGCTGAATTGTTTTAGTACAATCAATTGACTAATATTTTTCTGGGTAGATAGTTTTGAAAGTGATAGTGTGAGATGCAGTCACTAACAAAAATAAATAATAATTAAATTCATATGTAAAAATAAATATAACAAATTTTTAGTTATATATGTTTTGTAAACCAGTTAACCTATTTTTCACACCCTTATGTCCCTGCTTTTAGTTTATTCCAGAAGTGCACGTATTCTAGAATCTAGCACGTTTCAAGTATTCTAGAAGTACATATATATTATGTGTGTGGCCGTACCGTTGGCAATTATTGCGCTGCGCGGGACCTGGTTGAGGGATAGGGTTCGACAAAAACATCTAATCTTCTAAGGGAGCTAATTTTATATGGCGGCACTTGGGAATGGGACCGATAATGGACCGATAATTTTGATATCTAAGATTCAAGAAAAAAGACCATTGCTAAAATGGAAAACTGGATTTATACAGAACGGAATTTTTGCTGGGAGTCGTCTAATAAGAAGAAAAAAAAGTTAATGAAAAATATAAAGCTAAACAAGAAAATTAATATTATAAATAATGTTGATATAAATCAGGTACTGACTAATCAAGGGCGTTTCCGGGCTTATTTTAATCCGTTCCATATGCAGAATTATGATAAATGCTTAATGTGTGATAAGTCTAGGGACGCCCGCCACTACGATGAATGTACGCTTACCCGGAGTGCAAGAGAGAAATATAGAAAGAATTTTAAAAGGAACTATTCAAATTTGAAAGATTTTGCAGAGACTGTAATGAAGATTATAAATACAAACAAAGACAGAATTGGAATTCGGCACTGAGACTCAGATTTTGTATTTTATATGTTTTTTCTTATATTTGTTTTTTCCTGGACAGTCCCTTTTTTTTTTATCATACGGCCGGCCGGCTTGTGCCGGCTAGGAGAATCGGGGATTATATAATAATAATAATATTTTCTTCCCCTCCTGGTTCCTTTTTACTTCTACTGAGAAGAAAAGGAGATTAACTACTTTACCGTCTTTAAAGCTGATAATTTGTTTTATTTTAATGACTATAATTCGATTTTCGGTTAATTCTCTTTGCATAACCTCGATGTTAATGTTCCTGGAAGGTTTCTTTATCGTAGCTTTAATAAGCTTTTCTGAGTTTATTTTATATGTGTGAAAAGGAACACTTCTATCCAATAATACTTTTGTAGCAGTGCGATAATTTATTTTCATACATTCGAATATTAAATGTATCACCTTTAAGATTGACTCTGATCTTTTTCATGCCGAGTTTGTCTACTTCTTTCTTTAGAACATCCCAGTTTGCAATAAAATCGGCTAGGACTATTGACGGGATATGCTCTGTGTTTTTCTTAGATTAAGTGAGATTCGTGGTGTGTTCACTCGTTTCCTCTTCTGTATTATCTTCTGTGTTGAGCTCACTAAATTTATTTTTATGTGCAGGTGCTTCATTGTCTGCGTTGGATAATGAGCGTTTGTGTGTAATTCTTGGAGTTTGAAAACCTTCATTATCAGTCAAAATTTTCTTTTTCGTGATTATGCATTTGAACCACGAAGGAGTTTTGAGCTTTCCACAGCCGAATTAGCTTGTTTTGTAGTGTTGCTAAAATTTTCATGATTAAGAACTATCAAATGCTGTGTTCTAGTTTCTGAATTCTTCGAATAACATTGTCAAGCTTTGCAGCGGAATAACATTGTCGAGCTAAGTTCGTGATATTCTCTTTGGAAATTAAGTTTAGTTTGAGTTAAGCTATCCGTAGCAATTACGACATTAGTGCTCTAATAGTATTATCTAGCGATCTTATACGCCGCATCTAGATCCATGTTAAATACTCTTTGTAAATCGCTTATGCTCGTGCCTAGTCATGTAAGCTAGCCTGTGCTGCATCCCGTGGAAAACAAAGTAATCTTACCAAATGTCAAGATACGCTGAAGTTCTGCTTGATGTCAAGATACGCTGAAGTCTTGAATCAAAACAGCTCTTGCCACTCCAAGCTCCGTTGATCGTTGAGATTAGCTAGCAAATAAGCTAGCTGTGTTCCAGCTCGATGAAGTTTAGTGCCCATAATGGCGATAAAAGTATAAATTACCGAACAAGTAGAACTCTAAGAGATAATCGTGAGGTGTAAAAAAGGCCAAAACATGACTGACCACAGCTAGAAAAAGTATTGAAGCTTGAAGAGACGAATACTGCCTGAGAAATGGCGCCTCTAGATTACCCGAGAGAAGTTATTCACAGTCATCTTATAATAGAGGTTCAAATTTATATCTTACGATTTCAGATTGTTGAGAATCAGTCTTGAGAGTGGCATCGGATGTCTTAGAAATCGTATCTGAAGTATTCAAAGCAATTTTATCATCAGGAGTGGGATACTAGGCTTTCTTGATGAGTTGTTTAGACAAGGGTGAATTGCATCACGCTATTACAGAACCTCAGATAACCTCGTTGAGGGAAGCCACACGTAAATATTCCGCAAATGAGAATCCTTATGGGTGAATTGCATGTAAGATGAAAATAAGAAAAACAATGTACTTGTGAACTTTTCGACTAGTATCGACTTCTAAGAGTCTTAACTAGTAAATTATACTGGTGCCCAAGGCCAATCGCGGTATTCATAAGAGATGATGCCGTTTCACTACAATTTCAACCATGGAGTCGTAGTCGATAATGTTACGTATAAAAACATACGGCGAATTCTTCATTCCTTAAAAAAAATTGTGTGCAGTAATAAGAAGCCGGTTATGAATAGGCTTAATATCAAGATCCTTATGAATTTATAAATTACGTAGAAACCAGGGTGCGTTTACAGTCGTGCGAAGTATTTTATTCTGTAGATCTTGAAACGCTCTGTCTTGTTAGCTGCGGCCGAAGCAGGCATAGCATAAAGTAAAATTAGGCGAATTAGTGAGACATATAGCATATTTTTAACTTTGAAGCTTAGTTTAGATTTACGTCCGATGAATGCATAGATTGCCATGTAGGCAGCATTAGCTTTATTCAAAATGTAAGTAATGTGGTTCTTGATTTTTATCAACGAAATCTCCTAGATATTTATAAGAGTCTGCAACCGGGATAAGGGTGTTGTTAATTTTGATGTCGGTGTTGACCCGTATGCGGGTTTTATATCGGCGGTAGAGCACAACACAGCATTTAGCAGCAGTCAATCTTTCAGATGTTACACCATTTTGAAATTATATTGACATGGAGTTGAGGATTATTGAGGGCAACTTGAGCTTCTGTAAGAATGACGGTTTCATCCGCGTAATTAAGAACTTTGGCGTTTAGAGGATAAAGCAAGTCATTAATATATATATTAAATAATTTGGCCCAAGTACGCTACTCTGTGGTACGCCACTGTAGATGACTTTTCTAGAAGACAGGATGTCGCTACATCTGACTTGAAATGTACATCTTTTTAAGTAAGATATTGTTAACTTGATGAAGCTTGCAGGTAGCAGAAAATTGTCAGCTCATGAATGAGGGCTGCATGCCACACTCTATCGAGAGCTTTTCAAATACGAGAAAGCGTGCAGCAACCCCATTCTTTTTACTGAAAGCTAGAGCGATATTTTCTACTAAGTTGAGAACCTGATGCATGGTGCTGTGTCCCTGCCTGAAACCGAATTGCAGCTTATCCAGTAAATTCAGTCTTTCTTTAGATGTTCAGTAAGTCTACTACAAAGTATCTTTTCAAATAATTTTCCCATGACAGAAAGCAGACTTATAACGGCGATAGCTAGAAGCAAGCTTAGGATTTTTGCCCGGTTTTAAAATAGTGATAATTACGGAATGCTTCCACTGTTGTGGAAAATAGCATAATGTGATGCAGGCATTGACAATATTTGTAATGGTGATAAGGCAGTTCCTTGGAAGGGCCTTGAGTGCTTCGTTATTGATTTGGTCAAAACATTAGGCCTTTCTAACTTTTAGGTTTTTAATGTGATTTTTGACTTCGCTGAGGGCGGTGAATTTCATAAAATTGGTAGAGTTATTGCTATTGATGCTATAAATGGTAAATTGAATCTTACTTTCATGCTCGTTATTATTAATTTCTGGTTTTTTAAAAAACGTTTCCAATTCATCAGCCTAGAGATTTTGCAATTTCAGCTTCCGATTGGTAGACGCGGCCCACGTGTTCGATCGGATGAATTTGATTGGTGCGTTCCAAACTGTGTTAGAGATTTGGCTATTTTCCACACTGTGTTAGGTTGATTATCCATTTGCATCAGATTATCCCATTTCTGTGATCTAAATTCAGAGATTCCTTGCTTAATTTTCCTATTTAGATAATTCACGTTACTTTTAACTCTAGCGTTACGAGTAAGTTGCCACAGCTTCTGGGCGCAGTTTTTGAGTTTAATAAGATTTAGGATATTGTCCGGGAGGGTAAGAAAATTCTTTGCTTTGCATCTATAGGAAGCATCTTTGATTGCAAGTTGCATCTTGTTAGTTAAAAGATCTCCTCAATGTCCCCACAGTGGGTATATTCAGTTTTTCCAGAGATATTACTTAGAAGGTTAGCAAAAGTGTTCCAGTCAACTTTAGTAGTGTATTTTGGCAAAGGAGGATAGAAGTCGTAAAAGTCAAAATTAACTCGAAAATTATCTGAGGAGAGTTCTTCACAGATTTCGAGTAGAGGGATATGTGAGATGTTTTTAAGTAAAACCATGTCCAGTATTTCACCATTTCCGTTAGTATGTAATCTAGTGGGAGAACTAGGAGCAGCGAATTTGATGTCATTTCTTCAAAATATAATTATTGAGAATATTTCAATTACTATTATGGCCTCTTGAATGCCAGGATGGGTG